GATTTAATGACTCGACGGAGTTTTACGAATATAGACGTCGGATATCGAGCCTAGGGCGTCGAGACCGAGCGTCGCAAAATCACAAGCAACAAGTACGAGCATAGTCGTAGCTAGGCTAGGCTAGATCATCGCAAGCCTAAGCGTGTGTGTGCTAGGCGCGCCATGCGTGCTAGGTGCACAAGGCAGCCCATCGCAGCCTTCGCATGGCATGTCAACACCATCGCAGGCCACACGCACCATGCACAGCACTATCGCATGGCTAGGCCTATGCGTGTGTGCGTGTGCATGTGCCTAGGGGCCATCATAGCAATCGTAGGCCACACGCACCAAGCACACCCACCACAGTGCTGGGCACTTGCGTATGTGTGTGTGCGTGTGTGCCTCGCACCATCGCAGCAGCAACACGAGCCTCGCTCTGTGCGTGTGCGTGTGCACTATCGCCCAGCACCAAGCCCAGCATGCGTAGCTCGCTAGCAGCACGCATGCCAGGCCTTGCGTGCGTGAGGGGCTAGCTGGCCTGGGTGTGCTGGCTGTGCGAGAGGGCCTGTGCATGTGCGTGGGACTGGGAGTGCGAGGGGCTATGCGTGCGATTGCCCTGCATGTGCGTGTGTGATGGCGAGATAGGCAAGGGCCAGCGCTGGCAGCTAGCAGCGCCTAGCACTAGCACTAGCACGCAGCAGCAGCACAAGCATCGCCCAGCACAGCACGCATATGCTGGCTGGGGTGATGCGAGGCTTGCTGGCTGGTGCTAGCTGGCAGCACTGGCTGGCGTGCCTAGCTGGCTGCCAGCCCAGCATTCCTCCTATGCCGGTTTTGGATGAGGGGACCATTGCTTGGAGCAATGGCTTGGGGATCAAGGCAATGGTCCCCCCCAAGCCTTTGGTCCTCACCTAACTCTCTCTCTTTCCTTGACACTTGTTGCATTGTGATTGATTTGATTATTAATTTATATTGGAATTAAATTAATATCAAAATTACTTATTCTCCCACATTGGTTGGGAAATGAAGTTCAAGGGTTCATTTCCTTATAAATACCAAAGTTTGGGTATTTGGGAAAAAAACAACCTTGAGTGGAATTAAAAAGGCAACTCTTGTAATTAGAGTAAACCTTTGATTCGTAAAACTCATAGTTTTGTTTGTCCGGGTCTTGACTAACCTTCAAGACTTGGGACGCTCGGGTCGGGTCGAGGGAATGATCCGTCGGAGATCTCGTAGTTTCAGGATTTTGAAGTAAGAGCTCTTCGGGAGCGAAGCATGCAACAAAGGTATAATTCTTATTCTTAGTCTTGCTTAATTATTATGCTTGTTAATTGCTTTAATTAAGGGGCGGGTCTTGGGGGGTTTCCTTCCGCGTAGTGTCGGGTCACTACGAAACCCAACATGATCGGTTCCAAAAATAAAGATATCTCTAATGGATATGATATATGGCAAGATAGTGCAGATAATACTAATGGCGTAATAGTATATAAATACCATAGTGTATGAAATACCCTAAAAGTGGTATAGATATCTGAATTATTACAATATATGGCCTATGATGTAAGGAAGTTATGAAGGTACCAATAAGAAATGTATTCAGATATCATAGTAAAATAGCATGCGAAATGTACGTTAAAGGAATATTATGATACCGGTACACAAGGGAACCGATAAATAATATGCATATGCATGATAAAATGGACTAGTGAATAAGGGATCTGAAATGTATACGTCCATTTTGATGTCGACATAATGATAATGATCAAAAGTTTATCATGGACCAAAGGTCCAATGAAATATGGATTTTTAAATCCACACTATACAGTGTCTTGCATTATTTTGAGTCCTATGTATGTTTATATGCATGTATGAGTCATAGGTTAACGGATTGTTCATTGCATATGTCAGTAGTTGTTAGATGCATTACTTATTGTATATTTTGCTTAATAGGTTATCATGTTTTATATATCTCATATTACATGCATTAGTTTCTATACAAATTTTATATCTTGAATTTATATAAACAAAGAGTTATCCATCCTGCTGTTAGTAAATCCAAGAGACAACACATAATCAGCAAAACGCTTATACCAAGCCCGGGGAGCCTGCTTAAGTCCATAAAGTGACTTACGCAAGAGACAAACGTAATCAGGGCGAACCCGATCTTTGTAACCATGTAAGAAAGCATTTTTGACATCCAACTGATGTATAGGCCATGCCTTTGACAAAGAAAGACTAAGAACAGTACGTATCGTAGCTGGTTTGACAACCGGACGGAAAGTCTCGCCACAATCGATGCCAACCTGTTGAGTTTTACCATCACCTACAAGACGGGCTTTATGCCTCTCAAAATCACCGTTAGATTTAACTTGATGAGTAAATATCCACATAGAACGAATAACATTCACATTATGCGGACGGGGCACCAACTCCCACGTCTTATTTTTAATTAGAGCATTAAATTCATCATCCATGGCCTTTTTCTAATTCGGATCACCCAAAGCCGCGATCGGATTACGAGGTAAAGGAGACCTCGTGACCGCAATATTGGACAAGTATTTCTTATTTGGCTTAAAGATGCCATTCTGACTACGAGTCACAATAGTAGGCTGCTGGACCGGATTAGGGGCAGGCTGCTGGACTGAAATGGTGGGAGTAGGCGGGATGTTTTGTAGTTGGGCCAAGGGGGAAGGAGAGCCATGGGAGACCCGGATTGGGCTGGATAGAGGAGATGGCCCAAGCGCCTCTTGCAAACCCAATGGAGAGTGGGCAGCAGTAGAGGGAGTAGGTGGGCTATGTTGCGGCTGGGCCAAGGGAGGGGAAGGAGGGAGGGGGCCGCGAACTGGGCCGGAAGGAGAGGAAGGCCTAGGTGAGCTGTGTTGCAGCTGGGCCATGGGTGGGGAATGAGGATGGGGAACGCGAACTGGGCTTGGAGGAGAGGGAGGCCCAGGCGACTCTTGCACACTCAAAGGAACGTGAGCAGTAGTTGGGGGAGGAGAGTGGGTTTGGGCCATTTGTGGGAGATCATTAGCCTGGGTTAGATGATGAATGTTGGAAGGATGCAACCCATCAGCGAGGAAATCATACGTATGAGTGGTGGGGGTATGAAGTGTGACAAAAGGGAACACTTTCTCATCAAAGAGGACATGGCGACACACAATGATTTTATTTGAAGATAAATCAAAACGCTTATAGCCGCGATGATTAGGAGGAAAACCCAAAAAAACACAAGGAGTGGACCTTGGTTGTAATTTGTGAATGGTCGTAGATGGAATAAGAGGATAACACAAACACCCAAAAACCCGTAAGTGAGAGTAAGAGGGAACCCGTTGATAAAGAATCTCTAACGGAGACTTTTGACCCAACAACTTACTTGGAAGAATATATTGGACGTACGTGGCCATTTGCAATGCATGATGCCAAAAAGAAGGTGGTAGAGAGGCATGAGCAAGAAGGGTTCTAGTGATATTATTAATTGACCTAATTTTGCGTTCAGCTTTCCCATTTTGAGAAGAAGAATAGGGACATGAAAGACGAAAAGATAAGCCATTTCGTTTGCAAAAATCCCAGAATGGACCATTATCAAACTCCCTCCCATTATCACATTGTATATTTTTTACTGTTCGTTCAAATTAGGTGAGGATATGAGCTTTAAAAGTGAGAAAAGTGTCATAAACATCCGACTTTTTAGCTATAGGAAAAGTCCATAATTATTTCGACAAATCATTCAAAATCACAATATAATAACGATGGCTTGACGAACTCAAAATAGGAGATGTCCATAAGTCACTATGAATAATATCAAAAGGCAAAAGAGTGTGTGATTTAGATGTAACAAAAGGCAATTTAACATGTTTGCCATAAACACAAGAAGCACAAATGCAAGAACTAGAATATTTAGTACACTCAATGCTTTTATTATGCCTAAGAACATCTAAGATAGGAACACCCGGATGACCCAACCGATCATGCCAAAGCTTAGGAGAGATGACGGCGAAGGTAGAAGATTGAGCTTGAGTGTTGGTAATAGGATAAAGGTCCCCATTGCATCACATCTCATGATTGGTCTCCCCGTCCGAAAATCCTTCACAGAAAAACCCAAAAGGATCAAACTCAACTGTCACAGAATTATCAGTGGTAAATTTTCTAACAGAAATGAGATTTTTTATGAGTTTAGGAGCATGAAGAACATTCTTTAAAGAGAGGGGATTGGTAGGGGAAGGTAAGTTAGAGTGACCATAACCAAGAATAGGAATAGTATGACCATTACCAACACCAATGCCATTATTAGGATGAGTGTTCAAATTAAAATAAGACGAGAAATTACCGGGAGAGGAGGTCATATGAGAGGTAGCCCCAGTGTCCATGTACCACGATGGATCGGGTTGAGATAGAGACATAGTGTGCATCGCGGCCTCGATGTCCGTTGGAGCATACGAACCGGGCTGCCCAGTAGAGGAAGCTGTATAGGCCTGCTGACTTTGTTGTGGGCGTGGGCCTAGATACTAGGCTGCTTCTGCTGAATGGGAGGCCTAGCCCATCCCTGAGTTGGATATGGGCAAGGTGGAATGGGCCATTGCTGAGGCATCCACCCCCAACCCGAATAAGGAGGCTGTCAGTATGGAGGTGGAGGCTGCTGCCCACCTAAACTGTGACCTGCACCGCCGGACCCCTGACTAGCTTTGCCACCAGCGAACCCACAGCCTGCACCACCAGAATTTTTACGGTTTCCACCGGATTTCCCCTTCTTCTGTTTTTGGCCCTTTGAAAAACCATGAGAACCAGAATCAAGAAGTAAATTTTCAGGCGACACAACCATCATCGCTGAAGCGGACCCTGACGACGCCTCCTTGGCCATGCCTGCCTCCTCTAAGGTGAGCATTGATCCTGGCCTGATAAAAGGCAGGTAAGAGATAGCTCTGCTGAATAAGCGTACCCACACCACTGTACGCTTTTGTAAGGCCTCCAACCAATTGAAGAACCATCCTGCTCTCCGAAACTGGCGCTCCGACATTCTTGAGTTAATCAGCGAGAGATTTAAGGCGCTGAAAATATGCCGAGACGTTAGGGAAGTCCTCCAAATGTGTGGTGGAAAACTCCTGCTTAAGAGTAACAGCCCGAGAATGTCGGTTGTCCTGAAATAGGTCACGCAGCCTATTCCAAGCATCCATGGCAGTAGCATCTATCCACGATAAAACTGTGGCATCAAGGGTCTGCCATAGTTCCTGTTCTTCCTCGGAAGACGGAACCTTCTCCTTGCCTTTGGATGTCTCGGCAGGGGGAATGATATGATGAAGAACCCGATGAGATTTTGCGTGAATCTTGAACAACTCCGCCCACGTAGAGTATTGCACATTTTCCATTTCTAGGGTAATGGAAATGTTGTTTTTGATATTAGAAACGGCAAGTTCCAGATGAAAAGAGGATTTAGAATCACCCATTGATAAAGAAGAGAAGAAAGAACGGAAAACAGAGAAGAGAAGGCAACAATGGTGAGCGGAAACAAGAATAGCAGCGGAAGAGAAGAGATCGTGCCCTAGGCAACTGATACCATGAAAGATGAGGGAATATTTTCCTTGAAGGATTTCCATTAAATATCATACAATATATATCCATATACAATGCATAATCTGAGGCTATAAAATAGGAAAGACTATACATGAATATTTACTTAACAAAAATAAAGATATTTACATATATCTTAACAAGTATTACAATAATATCAATAATTTTATTTTGATCATTAAAAAATACAAAAAATCTAGTTATTAATAAAAAAAAAACTCACATTCATTGATGATTTATCAAAAGAATACAAACGGTTTCACTAGAAGAAATCAAAGTAATCGATGATGTTTACGCGAGTGTTAATTGCATACGTTTAGGCAATTAAACTAATCAACAAATTTGTTTAAAAGTAAGGGGTATAAAGAAAGAAATAACAAATTTAGTAGAAGCAAGAGAGGAAATACATAGAAAATATAACAAAAGCAGAAAATGAAGAAAGAAGGAAAAAAAATAAAAAATAAAAAAATAATAATAAATTTAAATCTTTATTTCAATGTTGGATGAGCTAGAATTGAAATATGAGTCAAATAAAACTGTAAAATTGGGCTTTCACTCAACACAAGCACAATTTATTTTAAATGGGCTGGATCAAAACAAAGTTGAGTATGGTCCCCAATGACATACACTTTACTGAAAGGAATGGTGTCCTTTCAACAAGTGTATTCTTCCGATAGAGGGTTCAGAATTATTACGGAGCTAATTCTTCAGTAAGGTCAAGTGATCGGAATGCCTAGGTGGAGGCCGCTTCCGATCAGTAATATCAATGTACAATTGATGTTACAGCTTAATCTTAACTGAACCCTTCGGGTCGAACCCAATCGAATCACCGATCCGAGACGACGAATTAATTCGAAAGGATTTAATGAGTCAGCAGAGTTTTACGAATACAGACGCCGGATATCGATCCTAGGGCGTCGAGACCGAGCGTCGCGAAATCACAAAGCAACAAGTATGAACATAGCCCTAGCACCACACTGGCCTAGCCATGTGGATGCTAAGGTAGTTCAGGCTAGCATGCACCTAGCATGGCTAGGCGCAAGCCCAAGCACACTGGGTGTGCTAGGCAGCCCATCGCAAGTGCTATGCGCACCATAGCACACCATCGCAGCCCATCGCAAGTGCTATGCGCACCATAGCACACCATCGCAGCCCATCGCAAGTGCTATGCGCACCATAGCACACCATCGCAACCAGCATGCCTGCGCACATGCGTGCTTTCGGATGGCACTGCATCGCAGCATGCGTGCTAGGGTGCTAGGCACCATCGCATGCCCCTCGCACAAGCACAGCACCATGCTGGGCCTTGTGTGCGTGAGCATGTGCGTGGAAGGCATCGCAGCACGCAGGCCAGGCACCATCGCAAGCATGGCACCACGCACAGCACCATCGCAGTGCTAGGCACATGCGTGTGTGTGTGTGCGTGTGCGTGTGCACTGTCGCCCAGCATGCGTGGCTCGCTAGCAGCACGCATGCTAGGCTTTGCGTGTGTGAAGGGCTGGCTGGCATGGAGTGCGAGGGCATGGGAATGCGAAGGATGAGAGGGAGTGCTGGCTATGCTAGCGTGTGTGCGATGGTGATGTGTGCCAGCAGCCAGCACTAGCTAGCAGGCAGCATCGCCTGGCTAGCTAGCGAGCAGCAGCGCTGGGCGTGCTGTGCATGCGAGGGAGCTACAAGCTTGTGCTACCTGGCTGGGCGTGCTGACAGTACCGGCTGGCAGCCAGCCCAGTTGCCTTTGTGAGTGGCGGTTTAGGAGAGGTGGGGACCAAAGCATCTAGGCTTCCCTTGGGGAGCAAGGCAATGGTCCCCCCATGGGATATGGTCCTCACCTAACTCATTCTCTCCTCTTGCCACTTGGTCCCTTGTGATTGCTTTTGCTTAATTATTTATTTTGGAATTAAATAAATTATTGCAATTGCACATGATCCCACATTGATCATGAAAAGGGGTTTCAAGTCCCCGTTCTCTATAAATACCCACTTGGTTGGGATTTTGAGAATACAACCTTGAGTGGAATTAAAAAGGCAACTCTAAGTAAGAGTAAACCTTTGATTCGTAAAACTCATAGTTATTTTGTCCGGGTCTTGACTAACCTTCAAGACTTAGGACGCTCGGGTCGGGTCGAGGGTACGATCCGTCGGAAATCTCGTGTTTTCGGGATTTTGAAGTAAGAGCTCTTTGGGAGCGAAGCACGCGTCAAAGGTATAATTCTTGTTCTTAATCTTATTTAATTAAGTTTAATATGCTTGTTAATTGTTTTAATTAAGGAGTGGGTCTTGGTGGGTTTCCTTCCGCGTAGTGTCGGGTCACTACGAAACCCTACATTTACTTCTTTCATTTACGAAGACATTGAAGACTTCAAGTGTTCAAGCTTACTTATTACATATTAATAATATAAAGAAAGACAAATGTTTTACGGAACACAAGTGTATTAAATAACCTTCATGTCTTCAATGCTGAAACTTGCTTGTATGTCACTATGTTGTATGAGATCTTGATACTATATTGTTGCTAATGTCATTTGACACCAATTAACTAGTACAACTAGTACAACTCTGGGTAGTCTAACTAACTTTTATTAATTTCTGGATTTTAAAAAAAAATTAAAAACTAACACCACTCACATTTTTCGATGTATATTTATCACAAATCAGACTTACAACTCTCGCAAAGTGTCTGGTCCAAACCTTGGCCCAATTAACAAAGATACACTTCCCATGGATCAACCTTACCCTAATCGACATCACTTGACTGTGAGTTAGGCCATTTTCTCTTCACTCAATGTTCACTAAGATTAAATTATAACTTTTATGTTTTAAAATTTTTATATTTAAATTATGTTTTTCTAAACTAATTATTTTCAAACTAAAAAACTTAATTTATTGATTCTTTATTAGGATAGCGTTTGACGTTTTTGGCTATAAAATTTGATTTATATTGTTTTTAATAAATCATCTTAACTTATCTATATTGAATATTAATTTTTTTTAGGAAAAATTGCTTTAAATAATACCACCTTTCACTCGTCCGCTAAAAACAAGTCCACCTTTTATTTATTTCAGAATAATACGACCTTTGGGGGGTGTCCGCTTTAAATAAGTTGTAACCTGTTAGTAACCTGATTAATAGGTTATATGGACACGTGTCATCATTTTATTGGTCTAAAAATATAATTTTTTTTAACTTTTTTAAAATTATTATTAAAAAAAAACCACCCATCCCCATCCCCCTCCCCCTCCTCCTCCCCCACGATCTAGCCACCTCCTCTCCCCCTCCCCCACATGCAGCGACTCCACTGGCGACGGTACGGCCGGCGCCCAGCTCCACCACCACCGGCCATACAACCGAAAACACCACTTACCCACCCATTGCCGAAAACCTTACCCACTTAGAAACCCCAATAGCCACCCCCGACAAACCACCTACCCACCCCAGCAGACGTTGAGGATGGTCGTACTTTGGCCGACTACAACATATAGAAGGAGTCTACTCTCCATCAAGTGCTTCGTTTGAGGGGAGGTATGTAGATTTTCGTCAAGACTTTGACTGGAAAGACCATTACCTTGGAGGTTGAGAGCTCGGACACCATCGACAATGTCAAGGAGAAACCCCCCCTCCTTGAAACCCTCCCTCCCTCGCAAAATCACCTTAAACCCATCCCCTACCCTCGAAAAGCCCGAATCGGACCTCCCCAGCCACCACTAGGGTTTCGGTTAGGGTTTTTCAAGGGTGAAGGATGGGTTTTTAGTGGTTTTGCGGGGGAGGGCGAGTTTTGGGGAAGGGGTTTCGGTGGTTCAAGCCAACGCCGAGGAAGAGGGAAGGGGTGCGCGCAGGGGAAGGGGGTCGGTGTCGACGCCGGCGCCGGCGCCGAGGGAGAAAGAATCCGACCGTGGCCGGCGCCAGGGGCTGGGAGTAGGCTGGGCCTGGTGTGCAGTGGCTGGTGGGTGGCCGGAGGAGTTGGTTTTTTTTTTAAGAATTTTTTTAAAAAATATATTAATTGTTAATAAATCATAATTAAAGTTTTTATTAAAAGTTGTTAAATGAATTTATTAAAAAGGAAATAAAATTTAACCGGTTATTCAGGTTGTAGGTAAAATGACTTGTTTAAAGCGGACACTCCCCAAAGGTAGTATTATTCTGAAATAAACAAAAGGTGGACTTGTTTTTAGCGGACGGGTGAAAGGTGGTATTATTTAAAGCAATTTTTCTTTTTTTTTTATCCATTCTAATGAAGACACCTTTTATGCATATCTCAAGATCCCAATTCTACCATTCTCGTGCTTTTTTATTTTCTTATTTAGATTTTCACAATTTTCCTAATAATTATCAATATCATTATGCTTTGTTTACCCCTCCTCTCTCAGTCTCTCCTGTTTATATCTTGCACTTAAAATGAAACACAAATTCTTATATGTTCCTGGCCACACAGTGTGGCCAGTTATCATGGAGGTTACTTCATTGGTGTTATATAGGGGTTACTCAGTCAGTGTTCGGGGGTTACTTCGTCAGTGTAATAGGGACTACTCGATCAGTGTTATAGGGGTTACTTGGTCATTGTTACAGGGGTTAATCAATCAGTATTATAGGAGTTATTTTGCTTTTTTTACAAGCGTCCACATAATGTGGCCAATCGCACACAAAACGTGTAAAAAATAAAAAGTGTATATAGTAGCCCTAGCTACATTTTCCATTTTACCTAGGATAACAAGAAATGAAGAAAACATGCAATATTAAATCCCATAATATCGTCCATTTTACCTAGGATAACAAGAAATGAGGAAAACATGCAATATTTGTATGTAACTGTTAATTTTGTTATAGAACCTTTTTTCTCTTTATAATTAATGTTACTAACAATTACGGAGTAATGTATAGT